TTTGCACATTCCTTTTTTTTTAAAAAGGTGAAGATTGCAAACATTTGTCTACATTTAAAAAAATGAAGACTTTCTCTGAAGTGTTTAAAATGTTCTTATGTTCATATTGCTATCACAACCGGGCCCAGGAATCAGCATTGCTTGTTTTGTTGATAGCGATGTTCTTGTATAAGCACAAGAAATTGCGACATTTGTGCCAACATCTGCAAACTAACATCTTCCTGTTGAGCTTCCAACGATTTAACAAGGCATTGAGCCAACCTTGCAATCTTCGCTAAGACTTGATGCAAACTTTGGATTCAGTTATAAATATGAATTCCAAAGATATTTTAAGATTTTACATTTTAACACCATATTTCCAGCTGCAGCATTTTAGCAGTAACATTCAAAATGTGGTTTCTACAATAGTTGTTGGTTCTTAATGTGACAACATTGAATTCTCTATCCCTTAGGATCCCTCATTTTTTTTATCAGTTAAATCGAGTACTGCAATCTGACTTCATGTTAGAACTAGGTTCTAAATTTCATTATTATTTTCTAAGGAAATGTTAACCTAAATATAGTTGTGTTCAAATAAAATCTTAGTTTTAGAAAGCAAGTTTAGCTTTATGTTGATCAGAAACGTTGACGTTTAAACAATTTTGATAAGAGCTAACTGGATTCCAAAGAATGTTATTCAGGGTTAGAGTTAGATTGCCTTATTATTGGCTGCTTTGTCTGTAGCTCTACTTAAAAAAAAAAGTGTTTTGTGCCATTTACTGCAGTGTATTGCAAAAACAAATTGAACCGGAGTCCACATTCCAGGACCGACTTTTGCAGATTGTGTCTCCTACAAGTACACTGTCACTAAACTTTACAGTATATCCTGTGAACAGTTTGTGATGTCCTCCCAATGTGAAAGGCGCTGTGCCAAATGCAAGGATTATTGTTACTACTTAGGATCAGCTCAGAAATGGTCTTTTTGGGTATTTCAAGGAACTCTTTAAGGATCCATTTTAAATGGATATTAAAATATCCGGTTGCATGACTGGCTCTTCAATAACACTTTAAAAAAAAGTGTATATGTTGGCCACCTCCCTTCCTGGCCAATCTGAAAAAGACTAGTATAAATCGAGTTTATCTGCTCTTAATTGCTTTGCTGCTGGAGCCTACATTTTTCTACTTGCAGCATTATACATAAAGTGAGCATTCAAAACAGGACTCTATGCTTCCCGAGTAGGGAATTACTGCCATTATTCTGGAATATTATTGTATCCAAAAGAAATATTGCTTTAACCATTAAAGAATTGGTTTATCACCTCCATATTATAAAGTTCTAAAGAATTAAATCCATTAATTGTGAACCAATTAAGGTGGAAACTCACTATTGCAGACATTGGTTCATGTTTCCCTCATAAGTGAGGTTTGGAGTTTCAGTCACCATTGATTTCAAATGGGGGAGGAGAAACAAACTGTAAAAAGTCATCAGAATAGGAGTGGGATGCTCACAATGTGAGAATAAATTGCATAAACTTCTGCCCCATCTCCAATCTCCCTTTTCTCTCCTGGGTCCTAGAACAAGTTGTTGCTTCCCAGCTGTGCTCCTTCCTCTCCCGCCACTACCTTCATGAACCCCTCCAATCGGGTTTCCGTGCCTCCCACAGCACAGAAACACCCCTGGTCATCTATCCATCTGCGACCAGGGTTCCCTCTGCCTCTTCGTCCTCCTTGACCTCTCTGCTGCCTTCAACAAAGTCAACTACTCTATCTTCATCCACCATCTCTCCTCTCACCTCAACCTTCACGGCACTGTCCTTGACTGGTTCAGATCGTACCTCTCACACCGCTTCCACTTCATCTCCACAAAACGGCTTCTCCTTTAGCCCCCACACCATCTCGTGTGGCGTTCCTCAGGGCTCTGTCCTTGATCCCCTCCTTTTCAACATCTATATGCTCCCTCTTGGTGACATCATCCACAGACATGGGGTCAACTTCCACATTTATGCGGATGATACCCAACACTACCTCTCTGCCTCCACCCTTGACTCCAGGACCACTGCTGTGCTGACAAATAATAATAATAATAATAATCCTTGCATTTGATATAGCGCTTTTCACGTCGGGAGGACGTCTCCCAAAGCGCTTCACAGAACACACTGTAAACTGAATTGACTGTATATTTGTGGGCGAACGCGGCAGCCAATTGCGCACAGCAATGTCCCACAAACAGTCGTGGATTGAAAATGACCAATTTATTATTGTTTTTGGTTTTGGAGAGAGTATTATTAGGCTCTGAGTGGAGTAAGGAAACTTGCCCAAGGTTTCACTCTGCCTGGAATTGAACTCAGGTCTCTCGCTTGCAAAGCGAGTGCTCTAACCACTGAGCCACAGCATCACCATCCATGGTTGCACACTCCACCTCACTGAGCCAGCCCAGAACCTTGGCGACTTGTTTGACCCCCAACTATCCTTTCTACCCCACATCTGGGCCATGGCCCGCTCTGCCTTCCCCCAACTCCGCAACATCGCCCGACTCCACCATTGTCTCACACCGCAGGCGGCCGAAACCCTCAAACAAGCATCTATTACATCATGCAAACTCCATGCTTGTCGGCCTCCCCAACATCCAGAACCCTGCAGCCTTTGTCCTTTCCCACACTAGGCTCCATGACCCTATCACCCCCATCCTCGCCCGACTCCACTGGCTTCCCATCACACAGAGGACACAATTCAAGATCCTGGTCCTCACCTTCAAAGCCCTCCATGGTGTTGCTCACCCCTACCTCTGGACCTCCTAACCCCCTACCATCCTGCTCGCTTCCTCCCCCCAGCGGACATGAAAGGCACTATACAAATGTAATTTTGTTGTTGTAACAATGTGTAAAACAGGGAAACCTTCATTTGACGATTAATAGAAGTTTAAATAAGTTTTTAAAAATATTGTTAATTTGGGCATTTTACAACTGAAATAGCCTTTTTAAAATAGTTTGGTTTCTCTCTTTGTTGGGATTTTGTCTTGTCCAATGTTGCTTTATTTCTGAACATGACCATGTGCAGTTTTCAGGCTTAGGTAGGCAGGTGATGATGGGTTAAACTTTTGATCAAAATAAAGCATCTTTTTGTGGGCAAGGAGTAAGGGAAGTTGGAGCATAATGTTTGGAAGTGTTTGATTTTCCTGCTCTCCTGTAAGCTCCTTTGAGCAAAGAATGCCCTTTACAACTTACGCCATCCATGCAAGTTCCAACATGAATATCTGCCACAGACTGGTGGTGGGCCTGTCTTTTTCAATGCCAGTGTGGCCTCAATAGTGCTGTGCTGTGGGAAGACCTTAAGTGCACATTCTGTAGATCCCTTGTCTCAGTTAATTGTCTGCATTCTTTAGCTTTGTCTGCAATGTGACAGCCATTGTAAATCAGCAGCATGCAGTTTGCATTTTAATTTATTGTTCTTGTTGGAGGGGGTATGAAATTCAATTGAGTTTCTTTTCCCTTTGACAATTTCCTCCATGTCTGTATAGGAATGGGTCTGACCCACAAGCACACATTTGGGCACTGCGAACAGACCTTCTGTGGGCTTTGCTNAAAAAAAAGTGTACTGAAAACACCAAACACATGCTTTTAAATCTACACTAAGTTTATGGGGGGGCTCCTATAATTAACTGTTTCTTGTTGGACACAGGCAAATGTGGCAAATATAATGTAACTGGTTATTGTTTTTAAATATTTCTTAGAATGTAAATAGCAAATATTTGTTGAGTTTTAAATTGGGCATAGAGCAGCGAGTTGCAAGGTTGTCCAAGTGTGATCTTAATTATAAAGTGAAAATGTCACCTCTTTAATTAGACGTGATCTTACATAGTATTATGAGCAATGTATGTGTGCTCCAAAGACTGAGAGCAATGAATCCAGTGATGCTTGCTCTCTGTTGCTTTTGTTTAAATGATTCATTGTGGCCCTGTGAGACCTGATATCATACTTGTCAGAGACTATTCTTGTGGCACATATATCTGTCTTACTGGTGTGTCTTAATTTACTATAGACTGTGCATTATTTTGGAGTGGGGGGGGGGGAATCAAATATATTACTGTTCAGCTTTGTGAAGGTATAGTTGTCAAGTAATTTGCCCAGTGGTTAAATTGCGACCTACAGGCTTCAGTCTCGTTACCTGAGCAGAGGTACGATTTGAAGTGTTACAACATGGTTAGGACAATAGATAGCCTCCACAATCAACCATTCATGGCTGAATAAAATAACACTTTAACTGTTATATTTCACTTATACCACATTGATATTTATCAGGAAATATACTGTAGTGAGTTAGAGTCTGAAATCAATTCAATTCTAGTTAAATATCCCTTAAACACAGCAATTATCCCACTTACAGAGGATTGATCCTTTTATGAATTGTAGCTGAATTAAAAATAAGTAAATTGATCTTTTTTCAGCAAAATCAGAAAGAAGTGAAATCTCTGGTTGAAGTGAAAATTATTTGAAAAATATTTATTTGAAGAGATGTTTCAACTTTATTGGTATTTTTTGTCTGCAGCTTAGCAAATGCCATTGGGAGGATGAAACTATCCATTCTGCATATTGTTAAAAAACAATCTAACTTGTTTATTGTGCGTGCTGTTATGAGAAAGTTTGACAGAATTTCTTGGAAATGGATTTATTAGTGAGGATTATAGTGATGTTGCAATGAGCGATTTAATATTATTCACAATCTGTTACATTTTAATTTTCCTCTAAGGCTGTCTGTTTGATCCTCCCTGACCTATCCCTTTCATTGTACAGCTCAGAATCTTATTCACAGAATCATTTCCATATAAAGCAAAGCGTCTGCTATTAATGTTAATACAACGGATTCATAGGCAGCAATGCCGTCACCAGCCTCAGTAAATCAGCTTGGAGTTGGAATTTCATAAATGCTTTGGAACTAGATGTTTGCAGAAATCTGACAATCGACTATCTGTTTTTCCTGTGTGGGCTGGTTATTTAATCAACCATTTTTCTCTTTTTCCAAAGATCACGTGAAGAGTGAGGATTCAAACCGGAGTGAGGTTGACTCTCAGGATGTTCACATTCCTGAGCAGTTTTCAGGACTTCTGCACGGGTCACCTCCAGTCTGTGAAATTCAGAAAGATCCACTCACGCTACTTGCTGCTTTAAGCAAAGGGGGAGTGGAAGCAGAAGCGATGCAAAGCAGCGAGTTGCCAGAGAGGCAACACTGTGCAACAGAACAGGCACAGAACACTGGCGTCGAGAACTCTGCTGCAGCAGAAACTGCTGAGCAAAAAGGGCAGCAGGTAATCCATAACCCAGTCCTCAAAACCACCGCCAACAAGACTGATCCAGAATTTTCTAATAGCTCAGACCTTCTTCAGTATCAGGACCCTCAATCCATAAAGAGTGTGGAAGCTCGGACATGTACTTTGGGAAGGATACGGCCAAGTGGGAAGGGCAAAGTAGACGTTAAATTAGCAAGAAGTTTGTCAAAATCAGATTCCAACCTTATTACGTGTTTCCCACTGGAGGAGGACATGCTGGGAAGTCGAAGTGAATCTCTGTCGAACTGCAGTTCAGTGAAGAAACGGTTAGAAAAATCGCCATCCTTTCAGTCGGAATGGGAGGAGGTATGTAAAGCACTCTTTGTGATTGAGCTAGTTTGCCCTGTTGACAAAGCTAAGATTTTTTGCAGGATAAATTATTGAAATGTTAGGAAAAGGCTGTTTCTCAATGGCTATGTGTGTTAGGCGAGGCTGGAATAGTTTGTTTACTCTAGACTGATCTTAAATTAAGTTTTATTTCCTGATATGATTCTCGCGAAGGCCAGTGTGAAATGGTCTTATGCCAGTCATAATACAAGCCCTGGCTCGTGTGTGCGATGCTGACTGGCTGGTGTAAGAATGAATTTCCAGTCACTTTTTCCTCACAGTAGTGTATTTGCTGTGGGAAGCAGAAATTCATCACATACATCAGATAATCTGATTGGGCCAGCATAAAAGGTTTGATATGAATTTCCAACCACTTTCTCCTCGCAGTATGTAATTTAATTTGCAGTGGGGCACAGAATTTCAACACACGCATCACATCAGGTAATTAGATCTGGTTTGAAGCAGAAACACGTTTGAGGTAGTATAAACACTGAGCGATAAGTATCTGCTGGGAGCAACGTGGCTCTGACTCTCAATGTAAACAAGACTTTTAAAGTAGCATTCCTTTCTGGGACTATAAAAGGTTATCATTTATATAATTCTATTTCTTTTAAAAGTAACTTGTCAGTTTCTTTGAAAGCACTTGAGTAAAGAACCCATTTGTTTTTAAATAACTTGCCACAAATAAAGTACAACACATGACTAAAATGATTCTTATCTTGGCTTGAATACAAAACTGGAGAAAAGAAAGATTGCTACAGCATCTGGTTATCCGTGACCAAATCTTTTTTAACTTGATAAATTAATACAATCGCCTGTTGCTGTGTGGAAGGCAGCTGACCTCTTAGGCCTTACTCATAGCAACTCTTGATTTCTGCATATATCTTCTACTTAAGAAACAATTAGAAACTAAATCGGTGCTCTATAGCCACCTCAGCACCTCATCAAATATTTACTTTCATACCATTTTAATAGTCCATACAATAACTTGGAAAGAATGAATGGGTCTTTGAAAGAGTGAATATACAGATACTAATTGATTTTATTCTTTCCAGCACAGATTTGCCACAGCTAATCTCTGAATACAAATACCAACAACCTTAATAAATGTTTTACATTTACCTGATAAAAATATTAACCTATAACTGGCTAAGATGACAAACAAAACATGAGACTTGAGCCCCCTGGTCTTTCTAAGCTTTATTTAAATAAAGGTCCTGGGATTAAAATGACATCGCTGATTTAGCTGATGCACAAATGTCAATTGCCTATCTGCAATTTCTAACACCAAGGTTCCCTGGGCTGAACTATCTTTTTCCAAGTTGCCCCGTGTAAAGCAATAATTGTCACACACATGTTCTGAAATATCTGTAGTAGAATAATAATTTTTTAATTTGATACAATAATAATAATCCTTGCATTTGATGTAGCGCCTTATCACGTCTTCAAGACGTCTCAAAGCGCTTCACAGAATAGACTGTAAAGTGAATTGACTGTATATTTGTGGGCGAAACGCGGCAGCCAATTGCGCACAGCAGTGTCCACAAACAGTTGTGGATTGAAGTCACCAATTTTATTTTATTTTTTTCTTGAGACATTATTATCAGGCATGTGGAGTAAGGAAACTTACCCAAGGTTTCACCCTTTCGGGAATTGAACTCGGGTCTCTCGCTTGCAAGGCGAATGCTCTAACCACTGAGCTACAGAAATCCACAGCGCCTTATCTTTGAGACGCCTCAAAGCGCTTCACAGAATATACTATAAAGTGAATTGACTAGAGTGTGGGAGATACTTGGCAGCCAATTGCGCACAGCAGTGTCCCACAAAGTCATGAATTGAGTCACCAATTTATTATTATTATGTCAATTTACCAGGAGCAAAACACTAAGAACCCAATTTTAGATACTCTCAGTGATTCCAAATCCTTTTGAAATAGGATACCCCAAAATTCCACATGGTATTTTGAATGTGGCCTCTCCGGTGATTTGTTCAAGGTCAGACTACTTGTTTGACTTATGAAATTGCATACTACATACTGCCTTACATTAATGCAAAGGGATTTGAAATTAAATGAAAGCAATTCAATTGTTTGCATTGATGGTTGTATCTTCCCTCTCTGCTCAGTTATGCTGACTTCACTCTCACCTCACAGTGAACACAAACCAAAAGTCAATTTGCAGTGAAAAGTTGAGAACACTTAAGTATACTTTTTCTATATTTTAGGAAATCTGAAACAGAGTTCAATTACTTGGTGTGAAACAATTAATTTCTCCTCAGCTGAGAATTTGAAAGGTTTGGAGGAAAAAAGCCCTTTGGTCCATTTGATCTCATCCTGCAGTACTCAACCATTTTCCCAGCATTCTGGGCTCTGTCCCCTTCCTGGTAATCTATTCCACCTGACAGAAGGATAGAGTCTTCCTCGAGTATTTAAGAACATAAGAATTAGGAGCAGGAGTAGGCCATTTGGCCCCTCTAGCCTGCCCCACCATTCAATAAGATCATGGTTGATCTATTCTAACTTCACCTTCCCGCCTTATCCCCATATCCCTTAATCCCTTTATCCACAAGAAATCTATCAATCTGAGTCTTGAACATGTTCAAGGACTGAGCATCTACAGCCCTTCAGGGTAGAGAATTCCATAAATTCACTACCCTCTGAGTGAAGAAGTTTTTCCTCAAACCCCTAATTTTAAGACTGTGATCCCTGGTATAGTTTCTCCAACCAGGGGAAAGTCTCCCATTCTCTATTCTGTTATGCCCCTTTATAATCTTATAGGTTTCTATAAGATCACCTCTCATTCTTCTATATTCTAGAGAATATAGGCCTAAATTGCTCAACCTATCCTCATAACTCATCCCCCTCATCCCAGGTACCATTTATTTTGGCATTTAACACTTGACGTTCCATGGACGAAGACAGTACTGTTACACTTTAAATGTTGCATGCTGAATGCTGGTTTCAAAAGAAAATTATAGCTTTGTCTTGATTTTTAAAATATATATTATATATATATTTGTTGCATATATGCCAGAATTCCTGTATTTGCTATGCTTATTTATGCATCATTATCGCAGTACAGTGAAGAGCTGGAGCTGTCCATTGGGAAGAGATGTATGTGTGTTGATATAAAAATTGGCAGCAGATATTAACTGTCCAAGTAGTTTTCATTAGGATCTTGCCTGATTTAGAAATTGGATGTTAAATTATTAATCTATGCCATTAATGAATTGCTAACCATCAGAGTCCCATTAGATGCATCATTATGGTATAGGAAATAGATTATTCAGCAAATTGGCAGTTCAAAATATCATTTTGTCATTTTGATGATGAACTGAACAACTTACAAAATATAAGTAACCAAGGTATGTCCCTCAAGGGAGAGCGTGTGCAATCTAATCTCAACACAAGGAAATTTCTATGTGCAGGTGGTATACATATGTAGAACCCTCGACTCTGGTTTGGATACTCTTAAGAAGGGTGATGGGTTTCTGCAGGAGCAAAAACATTTATCGTACAGAAGGCCATTGGATTTCTATTGGCTCTTTTAAGAACAATCCTTTCAGTCCCATTTACCTACCCTTTCTCCATATTCCTGTATGGTGCATCCAAAAGTATTGTTCTCAGTTTGCTTTATAAATCTGATTTATAATCTTATACCTCTATTAGGTCTCACAGAAGGCTCTGGCTTGCCTCATCATTGTTCAGAGTGCATTCCTTTAATACTGGGGATCATCCTTGGTTGCTCTCTTCTGCACTTACTAAGAGGCCTGGAAGCTGCCTTTTATTGCATTGAGCAGAACTGTATGCAATACTTTAAGCCTGGCCGCACCAATTACAGCTTCAATATGACTTCTGGGGTTGTGATTTGGCAATAGAACCCAGCAACCTGTTTGCCTTCAAAGTCCTGGAGCTCAAACAATGATTGCTGAATGTTGGGGGTCGTGTTGTCTTCCCTGGTAAAACCATCTAGGAAAGAGTTGTTTAAATGTACATAGTCTCCCAATCATTCCCTTTGAGACCCTTCGGGTTTAACATCTTTTGTGACTACTCTCTTACTGTTATTACATTGAAAGGATTTTTTGGCATAATTTTGCAATTGCTCCTATGTTCATTTCCAGTTCTCTCTTAGCTCCCCTAATCTCTCTATTAACCTCCTGTTATACAATAATGAGCCTGTAAATTCCCACAAACGGCCATGAAATGAGAGAGCAATTAATCCAGAGTATTGTTCACCAGGACACCAAGAGAAATCTGTTAAGTTGTAGGAAGAAGAAATTGAGCTTTTTTGGAATTGGCGTTTACAATAGAAGATTTTTACTGTTTCATGACGGATGTTTTATTGTATCTAAATGTGTAGACGCAATATTGTGTATCTTAGGCAACATTTTCTGTGGTGTCAGAAGATGAATCCTGATGTCCACTTGCTAGGTCCCAGCTAATTAGCACCCGGGGCAGGGATACTGGTAACAGTTTTACAGTGAGGGAGAACTCACCATTGGCCAGCAACATGCATGAAGTTCAAAACCACAGGATAATTTTAATAAGTTCTTTGGCTTTTCCTTTTCCTCTTAAATTGTTTTCATTTTGTTTTAAGTACATTAGGCTTGTGATGTTTCTGCTGGATGGATGAATTGCGAGTGATGTGTAGTGATGGGTGTGTTTGCTATGAAACAATGCGATACCTGTAAAACACAGATGAATTGGTGGTTGGATATGTGCGTTGGAATATTTACATCTTATTAATTGCTTTTTTTTCTTTTTTATACCATTGCTTTTCTTTTTGTTGGTGCGTACCTGCAAGGGAATAGTATATTATTCATATTTCAGGCTTGTGGGCTTGGATTCTATTTCTGCGTTGAGCCTTATTCCTGATGCGGTACGTGTGCCCTTTGCTTTCTCTCATTTCCCAGTGTTTTCAGGTGTGTCAAATCATTGTTGTTTTATGTGACGATTTGCATGTGAGCTTCTCGTTGCTGAT